AGTAATTTATGAGAGGAAGAATAGTAATAACTATGGCATTTCTCATGCCACGGATTATGAGTTTATTCTGCAACTTCAAAGTCAGTAGACCTTTGACTTTTATGACTGAAAGACGAAAGACATGGTTATCTTGATAGCATGTTAACAGTTACTTTGATAGTATACTAACAGTAATTTTGATAGTATATTAACAGTTATTTTGACAGTATATTAACAGTCAGCTTTGTTGCACAAGATCACCAGACATTGTATCAGAGGCAGAAAAGAACATCAAAAAAGGTCACGAAGGCAAACCCCCAATCTCTACCCAAACTGACACATGTTCAGTGCCCATAAGCAGAAGAACTTTACAAGATTCAATAAAAAATAAAGAAAAAACAACTAAAAAAAGTTACCAGTATTTAACATCTCAAAGTTGAGAAAAAAATTGTCTCCTTTAGCCACTTCTATGCTCAAAACAAGACAAATGTGCAGTTATAYCTCCTGGAAATCACCCAAAGTATTCCATATTTACACTGCTATCACAGCACAGATTTGACCAAATATTTCTCTGTATTAGCCCCCTTTGTCACAATTAAATCAGAAAGGTATTTCTCATTCTACACACTACCATGGATAAATTTATAAACAAGAACATTCAGATATCTGCATTACCTGCAACTATTTGAAGATCTGTGTTAATCATTCCGGGAAGGCAAAGAAAGATTTTCCAAAGGAAGCCAAACATACTTATTTGTGTAATAAAAAAAAAGAAATAAAAGCAAAAAACTCCAATCCCTTTCAGCAAAAGAGCTGTTGTCTTTACCGTAGCCTTGAACCAGCCAAGAGCATTGCCCTTCTTGAAAATATCTTGACGTCACATATCATTATCTTTGGATAAAGCATTAGGTAAAAAAAGTCAACCAAGACATCCTGGCACTGTTCTTTTCAAAGACAGTATTCTGCTTTAGTGAAGAAATAAGAAAAGGTGATCGAAGTAGACTCCTTGGAGCCAGCAGATGGACTGACACAATTTTTTAATTTTAATCTGGCCAGCTAAGCTCTTTACCAGAGCTTGTCATACCATTAACAGACAGTCCAAACAAGGACAGCACCTTTCACGTGTAATTAACCAAGCTTTTTCATTGGCCTTTCAATTTCTGCTCCTTTAAAAAACCCTGCTGACCACAAAACATCAGGGGAAGCRCACGAGTCTCCAGTAGGAAGTCTCSGTGTGTTTTGCCTTCTGTTTGTACAAATATATCCCATATATAAATGTATGAGTGCTTGAACACTGTTTCCTGTGTAAATGCTGCAGTAACCTCTCCGTGGCACTGTTTCTTCTTACAGAGCTGCTGCCGAGGCTGCACTAAAGGACCAAGTCCTGTGCTGTTGTACCACTATTCCCTGCATCCCAAAAGCAGTGCTCTCCCCAAAGATAAAGCCAGGGCAAGTAGCAATTCTTCCATCTCTGTTCAGGTGTTACCTGACAGGAGCAGCAGCAAGGATTTAGCAGAGATACCTGAAGAGATGATCAGCTATGGAAACTGCAGAAAGGACAGAGTGCAGAAAAGCAGCAGCACCGTCAGTTCCTGTCCTGTCCAGGGTCAGCTCACTGTGGAAACGTGTATGGAAGCTGTCCTGCCATGGCAGACTGCACTCACACCACTGGGGAATCTCCTTCAGGGCTGTCTCCTGCATTCAGATCGATCTGAACGAACCGCTGGTTTGTCTGAAGTSACTATTTTTGGTAGTGGTTTTGTAGGTATTTCAGAGCTGGATTCCCAGGTGTCAGCCTGCAGAGCTTTTACACAGAGCTCCTCAGGCAGTGCAGCACTCACTTCTCTCTTCATCTGCTCTACTGAACTGCCAGCAATTCCAGACAGGAATTATCAGCAGTATTACACATACAATACTCAAAGGAACCAAATAAAATGGTCTTTGTTTTTATGCTCTGTCTTCTGACATCTAGCAGACTCTAGGTGATATTTTTCAAAATAGCAAAATAYTTTCTTTGGTTTTCCCCTCTCCCCCACAAATTATTGAATTGCACTGAAAGTTTAACCACTGAGCTGCTTGAACATCCCCAGTTTTCTTAGAACCAGACATTTTGGATCTATCAAACCATCACCACTKGCTTAGTTGGGCTCTGCCAAGCTAACCATGATGCTGGCAGCACCTTGCTGGAGCTACACAGGGAACAGCCCAGGGACAGCACTGCACTGGTACCCAGAAACTCTTTCAAAGTCCTATTCAGCATCTCTGGGTAGAGAGAACAACTTTTGTGGCTAACTTGGGTACCTTTACTATGATCCTGGATTCAACACAGACCAGCCTTTATTTTTTAATTCTCTGCAGAGACTGGTGCTTTYAATGCCACAAATGTTTTTGTTTGATTACCCTGCAAAAACGGAATTGGATCAAGATTATAAACACTACACATGCCTATAAAGGAAAAGGCTAGATTACCCTCCAAGAACACATGGCAACTAATCCCTTCACAGACAATTCTCAGAACACACATACTTCAGCAAAAATATGAAACCCAGTTAAAAGTTTCCTGGAGAATTTTTTAGATTTGCAGTTTTGTTGTTTCTTTCATCAACAAAGTATTCAATGGCACTCAGAACGTGAATAGTATAAAAACCATCTCTGCCAAAATTTGTTTTCGATGGTATGGCTATGTCAGCTCAGCTTCTGTGTGATAAAATATTTTTAAAATGTAAATGCATTTTTATTAATATTAGCTCGCTATCAATCAATATTCAAGTGATTTCAGCACTGAAATGTAGATGTGCAACAGCTGAAAAACTTCTGCTTTTATAATAGCAAAAGGAATAACTAAAAGCAGAATTATTTAAGGTATCTTAAAACAAGCAAAACAAAAAAATTAACTCTTTCCTTGATTTGACAAAAGCCTTCACAGCAACACTTTGTATCAGAAATTGTGTAATTATTCTTTTTCAGCAGCCAAGTTGCATTTGTTCACAACTCTTCATGAAAAGCATATTCTTGATGAATGCGAAAACCAGGAAGTGTAATGTTAGTAACACAATGTGCCGAGGTCACCTACCCTCGCACCTGCAAAAAATAAAGGCAGTTTTCTGACACCTTGCATTTTTGAGAAGAAATTACATGCTTCTTCATATAGCAAATGTGATTAACTGAATTGCAGTTCTCTACAGGGTAATGCTCACTTAAATACTGCTAGAGCACCCATACCATTCTAAATAACGTCCCTGTTTTTTAAATGCAATTTATTCAAAACCTTAATCTATTTGTAACTAAAAAAATAACATAAAGGAATGAAAATACCTATAGTAAAGAGCAACATCATGGCAGATACTGTTTCCAAGCTCATGTGGTTTAATATCCAGAATTTAAATTACCTCCCATGACTGGACACAGAAACTGATTTCATAGCATTTGACAGGATTCACCAACAAAATTCCCCATCGATTTAGCAGACAATTAGGTTTGACAAAACCTTTTCACTTGATGAGTTTCTGTGGTTGCTGTTGCCAAGCATTCACCATCATCCCTTTTTGCTTGTGYTCCTGACGAGTTCTCTGATRAACACCTCCCAAGAATGAGTAAGTTCTGAGGCTGTTTAAACTTCCAGCTGACCAAATTCAGCCCACCATAGCCTGTTGTACTGCCATGGTACATCTCTTCCATCATACAGTATGGTGAAGTATTTTGAGCAGAAGAATTAGGAAGTGAGGTCAACCAAAATAATGTCACTTTTTATGAACTCTGTCCATGTGAGGTAAACCTCTTACCAGCATTTCTCCTTTTTTTGAACTGTTGACCAGAAATCTTTTACCTTGTTTAACAGCCAGAGATTATCGCAGTGTCTGTGTCTCTCTTTAAACTTCAATTTCCAACTTCAAAAACTTGGTTGGGCAGAATTATTACTGTTAAGTGTTGGTTTTATTCAACACATTTTCAAACCTGACATTTTTCCAGTCTCATGCTACAATTCCTGCTTTTGCATCTCAAAAACAGTTGGGGTTTTTTGTTTGGGTTTGTTTTTTTTAAAGGGGGAAGGGGGGGGGTGCCAGAAAAAGTATTCTGCTCTGTCTTCTCTGTCCTAACCATGCTAAAAGTGCTACTACTGTGATTTTCAAGATTTTACTATATTCTAAGGTGTAGTATTTACTGTGTTTTCAAGCTCATCTCAGGCTCAGGTTCCAGGTGAGTCTCACAAAAGCCCAGCTGGACTGCAAYCAATGTCTGCAATTCCATTGTTAAAACACAGCAGTCCCCTCATATTTCAAAAAAACAAAATTACACTTGCAGATTCACTTCTTCAATTCTTGATGAAAACTAGGTGTCTTTYTTTAGATTCTTCCTGGCAGATTTACTTCCTACAAGTGACTTCTCTTCTACTTTGCTTCTTGTGTTGTGCTCGCCAACAGTACCTTAAACCTATCTCATCTGTCCTCATGGAACATATTTTCTGGTCCCACAGAGACAGAAGGCAGCAGTTGCTTTTAAAGAAAATGATAGGTACATTTAACACTTTTGGGCGTTTAACACCCAATTTTGTGTTTGGGCAAATAATTGATTGCTCGAAACAAAAATTACACAGCTTAGGGTAAAGACCCTTACAGAGRTTAGTTTGCTTTGAAATACCATGTCACTCCACCATTTCAGTTAAAACAGGGCTTAATACAGGAAACGGAAATGCAGATGTGCAAAAAGGCCCCTGAGTCAACCTGGTAAAAAAAAAGTTAACTTTGGGGAGTTCTAGCAAATAAAAAGGAAGCATGAAGATACCTGGAATGTGGCTTCTACCACAGACACTTCCTAGCATCGACCACATACCTGAGAAATGCCARTGGCTGGAATGGGCTGGGGCTGATGGTCCCACAATCACAGGGTGAGAGATTTGGATTAAGAGACACAGACTGTATATGTACCTTAAAAGCAGTAAGATGGCCTGTCTTACACTGAGCTTGTGAGTTATTTGTAGCAGGGAAAAGAATGGTAAMAACCACATTCAGCAACTTCTGGAGATAATTTTAATATCAAATGCATTGGCATTCTCATAGCACATACGTAAGAAATCTAAAAAGGCAATCCTTTTGTGTTACAAAATCAATTTAGAAAATTGCATACATTATTTTGCTTTTAAATATTTATAAACCAGTCCATCAAAAAAAAAAAAAACAACCAAAAACAAATCTCTTGGTGATAAAACCTAATTTTACCATACGAAACAGCCCAAACTGTTTTTCATAAGGGAACACTGAAAATATTATTCCATTTAAAAAGGTATAGAGAAAGGGAATATATTTCTGCATTTTTATCTTTTGTTTTATGACAAATACACAGATTATTTTTTTAAGTAATGCTGGTATTGTGATTTAGGTGCTGCAAGACACAAACTCTGGGATGAGAGGGAAAGATGTTGGGGGGCAGGGGAAGAAGGGGTAGTGACAAGCTACAGAATTAAAGTAGAAACAAAGACAAAAAACATACAGTCATTGTACAAGGCTGCTCACAGCTATACAGAAGGTAACTGTGCTCAGCATATTGTTTTAAAGTTGTCTGTCTCCTCCACAAAAAATTGTTCCTGGTCTGAGAAACAATAAAGGGGGGTGAAGGGGTGTTGGATGACTGMACAGAACCTGAAGTAATAACTGGATTTTCCAAATGCCAGGCTTCAGAGTTGTCMTGAGGAAAGGGGCCCTGAGAATTCTGCAATGACATAAAAATGTTCACCTMTTTGGGTTGCCCTCAATTTTTATTTTAATTCTCTGTTGTACTTCCAGAGCTGTACTTTAAGAGCTCTGGTTTTGTAGATTATTTCGTGACACAGGTGGTTTTGGTGGTTACCTGACACACACTCCTTCTGAATGGTGAGATGAAAAAGTTACAGTGGGGAACAGGAGAAAGCTTCCTTTTAAAACAGTCACCTTATATTGTGCAGTTAGTACAGAAAAAGTGTGCACATCAAAATGTGATCGGTGTTCAAGGAAAAACCACATAAATACAAATTAAGACAATGATAAATTTGTGCTACTTTATCAAATCAAGACTTCAAACACTCAATATTCAGGAATCTTTACCCAATCCTCTAAGAAAAGTAAAAATCCTGTTTGTCTCATATATAAATCACATGTTTTAATGATTTTTCAGGAAAAAACCTCAGACACTTGAGGTTGTTAAGCCACATCCTGCTTGCCTTGCTAATGCAGGTGATGCCTTAATATTTGTAGGAATTTTTCCCCAAAATCAGGTGAACAGCATTAAAAATCTACTGCTTACACATATTGTATTGGTATGTACTTTGAGAGCAAGTTTGCTTCTAAAATCTGAAGAAAAAAAAAAAACTTTCAAAAAAAAAAGACAGTGCTGACTTTAAAGTACTTAAACAGTCACTCTCAAGCAAATGTCGTCCACTCATAAAGATACACTTTTATAAAAATGCTAGGAAGGGGGTAATAATTTAAAAAAAAAATCATCAACTCATCAGCCTCAAATCTTTGCAGAATGTTCTGACACATGCAGATTACTTCTGTACATAATCAGAAACAAAACAAAAAATACATCTCTCGAGAGAGTCAATATTAAATCCTATTATTAAAGTAAAACAATACATAGTATTCATTCTATCTGTATCAGCTGCAACTCAAGAGACACAACACACAATCTAAATCCTGTCTTCAGGCCTGACTCCTGCAAGACCATCCATGTTTATACAGAATTACAAAGAACAGGGTCCAAAAGCTGAAAGTATTTTTACATCCTGTGGCACATACCTGTAAGCGCTTTCAGATTCCAAGTAAAGGATCAATTAGCAATCCAYGGGTATTACCTTTAACTTACATATTTACATTCTTATCTACAACCTTCTCCCTTCCCCCTCCAAGCATCTTAAGACCACACAACACCATTGAAAAAAAATATTTAAATAAATACATGCTGAACAAAAAATACTCCTYGTGACTTTTTTCTTCTTTTTTTACAAGGCATGGAGAAACCAAACACCACTAAGCAGAGTTCCAGTTAATTTACACAGCTCTGTCCTTTGTCATGACTGTCTTCTTATATTTATTAGCTGCTGCTGCCCCTCTGCTGTTGAAAGTGCAGTTGCAAGATCAGGTCCCGAATTTCTTCTCTTTTGCTTCTGATCAGCTGACGAGGGAACCAATTCTCCAGATTCAGCGGTGGTTCAAAATTAACTATGGGGTTCTGGTAAGAAAAAGAAGCAATATTTATGGCATGAATTTCCTAACCTTTGGAAAGAATTTCAAACCCTTCCACTGCTGCTGAGRCCAAGGAGGCACAAACAAGTTTCTATACAAGACTGACAGCCTTCAAAGTCAAATTCAACTTCCTTCATCAAAATCACATGTACATGTGCCCTTATCAAAAGGTATTCATGGTAAACACCAAACAGGTTATAATCACTTCTCCTAAAGATACATCAGTATTAACACACATTAAAGGCAGATTTCATGTATTTTGACACAAGGAGACATACTTTTGATATTCAACAAGGACAGATGCATTTTAGTCACAAAACACAATTACAACCACACTATAGCAAAGAATCAAGCAGTAAAGTAAAAAGTAAAATCAAGTAGTTAAGCATGCAGAGATTATGTTGTGTTTTTTCTGTCATGAGCTAGTCTCTCTGACAGAAGACAACAAGTAACAATACTGATAACAGTTTTAACAGGACATGAGAAAAGGAGAATTTGGAACAAAAGAGGRTACCAAATTGAAATAGCTGAGAGATGCTGGCAGCTTTGGCAGTAAGACCACAACATCACATCTGATTTGCAAAACCAATTTTTTTTCATCTTTCCCTCTTTATTCTTTTGCCATGCTTATATCTCACCTTCTCCTTCCTTTGAATAAAGTAATATATGATGAATTGAAACACTAAAGCAAAGAACACATCATGATCTGCACTGTATGAACCCTGGCACGTTTACGACAAGTTACAACCATCTTGTCCCAGCCTTGTTTCTCCAAGCAGAGCAAGTCCCCATTATYAGAGAACAGACATTTCAAAAGTTTTGGTAAACAATTTCATTTTCCACCTACAAAAGACTCAATCCATGTATTACAGAACCACAGAATGGTTGAGGATTGCAGGAACTTCTGGAATTTTATATCCYCAACYAGAYCTTCCTGGCTTCCAGCAGAGCACCTCTCCTCATTGGGTCAGCTGTCACTCAGGTCAGAGTTCTCCAGGAACCTGTCAGGTGTAAAGCCACCTACAGGCTCCAGGGCCTGAATGAGGCTGCTTTTACTGGCTCAAACAGGGCCTCACGCACTCTTTCTTCTTGATCAAGAAGATCTCTTGCAAGAAGAGATGCAAAGATACTTTTGTAACATAGGGCAGGAGTGTGTACACTAAATAGACTCCAAATACACACAAATAGTTATGTATATTGAAAGTGTCAACGTAAAAGCAACATTAAACTACAAGGTCAGAAGCATTTGAGGACAGACACGTTGAGAAACCAGACAGAAAGATCCCTGCATTAATAAGAATGGGCTTCATCTCTTTCTCAAATGCCTTTGACACTGCGTCACAGGCTTTTTGTGTGTGGCTATTTTGCTTAGAAACAAGTTTCTGTGGTTTAAGGTAGTTTGGGGRAAAGGAGAAGGTAGCTTGCATTTATACCTGGAAGAAGCTTTCCACATACTGCAGCAAATAGACCCCACAATCACTGCTGTTATCTTGTTTAGGCACTCTGGGACAGAGGTCAATCATTGTTGATTTGCTGAATTCCCGATGTGTTTTTCGTTTAGCTTCCCATTCCACTTCTAGGTACCTACAAAAGAAAGTAAACAATTTAAATACTTGAGAAATAACTCCCAAGCTCAGTGCCTTTTGGGACACTACTCAATTTTGTTCCAAAGCCAGCCAAAAATCCTTTCAATCTAACAGTACATAAGGTATTTAAAGACTTGCTGAAGACCTCAAGAAATCTCTTTTATAATTATTAGGATTTGTTATCAGGCTTTTCTCTTGTTCTTGTGTTTCAGTTAACAACTCACTGACCCCGCATTCAGAGCTGGCTGCTGATTTTAGAAATGGGACTGAAAACCTAAGGGTATGGTTTTCAAAGGCAACAGTTACCTTATCTTTTTATCCTAGCTTTAGCCAGACTTRCAATGGCTCAGGGTTTCTGAAGATCACACATAACATCTGACTTTAGAGAAYAAAAGATATATGCATTGTCAGATGTTGTGTTTGATTTCTAAAAGCCCCAAGTCCTTGAAGTCATGAGAAYAAAAATACATATAGAACACTTAAAACAGKTTTTGGGGAAAAYAGCAACTGTGAAAAGRYATCAAACATGAAACAATTCAAAGAYAAAGRTATTTCAGTGAAGCACAAGAGAAGAACCTGCAAGAACCTATGACTGTAGACTTTGCAATCAATTTGTTTGAGCCTGACCACTGCCCAAAACACAACAAAAATCAACTCAAGGAGATGTCACAGAATCCCTGCCTAYATTTCCTTAAACTTCTACTTTCAGGGTGTAACTGGAAATCGAAGGAATAAGGAGTTTGCTTCCCAAACACCCCTTATCCCACAACTCCATAGCTCTCCACTTGTTTTCTGACTTTTTGTGACATCTCTCTAAACTCCAAGAAACCACACTCTGGAATTTCAACCTCAGGAATAGCTCAAGGTACAGTGAACTAAAGCAACACATCCAACAGAGAATTTATCAATAAATAAATAAATAGAAATGRCTATTTCATTCTTCCTCCCAAGACACATACAGTAGGGAGGCYTCTCTATTTAGGGAGAACATGTTTTCAGAAAATATTTTAAATCTCATCTATCCTTTACATAGCATTTGGAAGAATTTACTTTTCCAAGAAGAAGGTGCTATTGAGTTTACAGATTTTTGTTCCTTTCAGTGAAATGAATACCACAGAGAACAGAAAGAAAAAATCTTTTTAGCCTCATATATTTAACAATTTTTTAAGTAGTTGATAGACATTAAAATCATTAGCATGATGTGTGGTAAATGTGTAAAAGTACTGCAAGTTTTTAGGATGTTCTACCAATACTTACATACTTATGACATACAGAATTGAATATATTTTTACTCTCACTCACACAAATACCATTCCACTGTAACTCTACTGACACATCAAGCTTCCAGACAGCTTTATTCTAGTTTCTACATTTTTGCATATATGAGTGGATTTAACATTAATTGTGCAAGCACCATGAAAAAAATGAACATCAGACCCTTAGAAAATTATCAATCAAATTTCTAAATATTCATTTGAAATGGTTTTTCTGCCCTTAAAAACACCTTACTAGGCTGGATGGGATAAATTCTCCCCCCACAAAAACAACACCAGCAAAAATCTCTCTATTTTTCCTTTTTCTCCACTCTCCACTTTACAGTTTTTGCATTATCTGTGGGTTGCAGAACATAGACAGGCTTTTCATGGAAGCCTCTGTACTGTAATTACAATTTTCTTTGTCAGGACTCTTCACGGATTTCCCTTTAGCATTAGAAATATGCACCTTTACAGAGAAAAGTATTTTGAATATAGAAATACAACCAGCAGCATCTCTTGCTAAAAGATAGAAACTTTGGTTACTTACTCTCTCAAAACCTGAACTGTTTTCTGCACAGAACATGTTTTCAAKGAATCTAAGATGAGTATACAAGGCCTGTGTACAACAAAAAAAAATAAATTGCAGTCTCTCATTAACAACACTATCGAACAAAGTATTTTATTCGCATACAGCTTAGCACGAGCATCATTATCTGAACCAATGTGATAAAAATGGACAAGCACCTACAGCTATGGTTTTATGACCACAACTGAATTACTACAGAATTTCATAATTTAATGTTACAATATTAGAAARGAAACAGAAACATACCTTTTACAAATCTGCTTTTTGGAATTACTTAGGGAGATCTGAGACAAAAGAAAATAAAAATAAATCTTAAAAAATCAACAACTATAAACTAAGATCTTCGTAAATTTAAAGACAGCTAGAGAAGCTCTCATTTCAGAAAGGCACAAACTGATAAAGCAGTTTTAAAAACAGGTGAAAGGATAGCAGAGCAAATAGCTAGAAAAAGGAGGACTTAATGCTATATCAAAATGCCTTGCACATGCTGCAGGCCACATAACATCAATAACTACTGCAAAAAAATTATGCAAAATAACTTGGCCAAATCTCACGGCCTTCAGAAATTGAGTAATATGTTTTCTCTGTCAGTATAAAAAGGCACTTACTTTAGAAATAGCTGAATAGAGAACTGAAGCAGAAGCAGCAATTTCACTGCGACCTAGTACAAAAGAAAAGAATTCCTAAGTGAAATATTTTTACTTCAAGTTCATGATTATTAGTATTCAAAATGCAAAAGCAAAGAACTAGTTTATAAACCAACTTTTAACATCCCCTTCTGAATGTTGAAACAGCAGTTTTACCAAGGGTCTTCCCTCCTGATAAAATTCTTACTGAAACAAAGTAACTTTCTACCCCTCACTGATTTTACAAGTCTCTTCCAGTATTTTCCAAAGTCGCAGACAACTTGCAGTCCTTGCTATGCATAGTAAAATAAAAACATACTACATCAGTCTTGAAGTCTTAGAAATTACGTTTCACATAACTTCCCTCCTTCAAGGACTAAGTCACTGTTAGAACTGTTTATGGCTTGACAGAATTTTCTCCTAGATTATTTTTAGAGAATAAACTTCTGTTACCATCCATWTCTTCTTTATCCTTGAAGAACACTGAACCAGTTTTAGTGTTCTCACTCTCTGGCTGAAGTGGAGACTGCGGAGGCCGGTGAGATAATGAATTCTGATGGGGACAGTCYTCATACATAACTTCTTCTAACCAAGGAAAACAGATAACTGCAATGTACCAATGAGCCCTGGCCAGTGGGGAGAGAGAGGAAAAAATGTCAAAACTCGGTAACATTTGGTTCTGAAAAGCCTACAAGAAGCTTTTATAAAGTTGAGAGCTCATGGACAACTGYTCTGTAACACATAGCCATGTTCTTTCATTGCATCTCTTATTAATCATCTCACTCATTTTTTACTTTGCATTGCTGGCTTAATAGCAAAAATAAGTATCAATTCATTTAAAACCCCCAAAAAACCCACCACAGCAATTCATCATTGTTTGAGAGCCCATCTCACACTTTACCAAARATCCAAAATGAAAAAATATTTAATAATCTGCAATGGTGATCCCAGTCTGAATACAGCTGAAGGTGTGGCACATCTTTAGCCTCATCCCTCTCCTCAGTTGTTTTACATCACATACTTTTCAGTGACTATTCAGTTTTACARGAGTTTCCATGTACAGCCAAGGCACAGATTTTGGAAGTTCTACTTTTATCTATTGACACTATGAGTGGCTGTAATTTCTTTATAGAAATATTACTTAAGTACACAGGAATCATCATAATGACACACAAATTATTCAGAAAAATATTTAACAGTAATTTTCAGTAAAACAAAAACCAAAGGTACAACKTTGACTGATGACAACGAAATAAACATTTTCTCTTTTGAACAGACTCCAAAATTACTCATGCCACATGTGCTACTTCTTCAAAACATAATCTATCATATGCAATGATCCAACCTTACACCATAAACTTTTACCACCACAACATTCAGCTATTAGAATATTTAAATATCAGAMAAGGTGTTGAAAACTCAGGCTTACTCCTCATTCACAGGCACAAAGATATAATCTTTATTGAAGATATTTATATGGCGAGTCCATGTTCTCACTCTTTTGTGTCTTCTCTGTGCCACTCTGAAAGAAAYATATGACAATTGTTGTTTGGTTTTGTTCCTTTTAGTTAAAACAAGGCATAGGGATTAATACTCCTACATCTCCCCAGTTCCTCAATGGGTTTTTCATTTAATCCAGAAATGTCCTAGCCAGATTAAAAATAAATCACCACATATTGAGCCCAAGTGACTAAAGAGCCATTTTCTGAACCATCTTAAGCTCTTCTGGAAAATCATTCACAAACCCGAATTTTTTCACCAAAAGATTTTCAAGTACTGGAAATGGTTGTGTCACCAGACCTGGAGGTACTTAAAAGATGTGTAGATGTGACATTTGGGGTCATGGTTTAATGGTGGGTTTGGTAGTGCTGGGTTAACAGATGGACTTCWTGACCTTAGAGGTCTTTTTCAACCTAAATGATTCTGAGATTCTATGAAAACAGAATGAATGTTGGTGGCTTTGCTCTCAAACATCAGTGCTGAGGAGCTGAAAGTGAGCTAAGAATGTTTCTTCCCTTTAGAAGGGCATCAGGAAACACAATGTGATTCAGGGTTCCTGGGATGCTACCCTTATCTTTTTGCAACTCTGGAATTCAGTGAGCTCAAGCACATGTAAGCTTGGTGTACAAYAAAATTTTCTTACTAAAGTTTGGTCAATAATTTATTACCAATATGTAAAAATTAAATAYGTGGTTAATCTAAAAATATTATTAGTAGCATAACTTCTTTAAATGATACATGTCTTGCAAAACGATGCATTTATGATAAAAATATCAAATAAATAATTGTCTGAGGTAAACAGATACAGTTGGAGAAAGATGGTAACATTTTCATTCACATTCAGTATGAATCACATTGATTTTAAGGAAAAGCACCAGTATACGGAAATTTTGAGTTACAACATTTAACCACTAACCCTTTGGAAAACACCAAAAACTATTYTATGTGCTGATTAGTAGCTGATTTCCAGATCTTCCAAGTGGCATCAATAGATAGCTTGTTTCTAGTCATAAAGGCATCTAAAATGAACTTACGAAACTTTGACATCCCCCTCAGAATTTTTTTCTGCCCTGGTCAGGCACTTGTAGAAGAAACTGCTAAAAATGTGCGTACGGTCAGCAACATGTTTTGGTGCCTTCTCCARCAACAGGTATCTACCAAAGAAAAGACAAGAAAACTGTTAAATTCTTTTTTCTAGAAAGTATCATTACTGCTAAAAAAAGGGCAGTTACTTTAATGACTTATTGTACTCAGGTTATGCTTAGTATCAGTTGCCTTCACAGCCACTAATCTCACCAAACTACTCTCTCTACTATATTTTAATTATTCACATGGATGCACATCATCAGATTATGTAACACCCAAACAGCTACTAAGGGAGCAGTCATTTTTTGCCCCTGATTTCAAGCTTCTAAATTTATTTTGAAAGTTAGGTACTGAGTCCCTTAAAATTAAGAGAGACTTGAAAACCTAACCAAATATAACTATGGAATGCTATAGTTGTGCATAGCATAGAACAGGTCAGTTAAATTGTCCATTTCACTTTTACAGGTTATGCATGTGAAAGGTAAATACTTATTATTTCACTGCTGATAATTTTACTATAAACCTCAGCTTCAGTGTTTTTTCTTTGATTTTACAAGGACAAAGCTCTCATAATTGCAGTTTTCCTACACAAGGGGCCCTCAGGTTCACCTGAGCACTTGGTCAAAACAGTCGTACATGACACARCTTGCAACAGAATGAAAACTGAGAATGTGTGAAGTCTAGCAAATTTTAAAAACAGTGGGATAATGCAACAATTGCATTAAAATCTTTTATTTAAATCTTCCTCTTCTGTTGAGATGAAGCTACAGTTATTCAGAGGACCATAACAGTTCTTGTTCAGAGCAAAATATAATGGGCTTTGCTGTAAAACTCCATTGAAACAGTCTATGACACATTTCCAATTCTCTAGACAAGGCTTCCTATTGCTCACAGTTCCTGCATCCATCTGGATGTCAAATAAAATGGAACTCATGCTGACAACATTCAAAAGAACCAGAACTCTTCTTAGGTGTAAGTCAGCAGAGTGAAAATAAACCACAGCTTTAGGGACTGGTGGCCACAAGACGAGTTCTTGAAAAAGTGGTTTCACAAGAAACTTCAGTAAGATGGCTTGGAGTAGCTAAGCCAAGCACAACATCCTCAAGATGTATCAGCTGCATTCCTTTCTGCAGATCTGCATCAGAAGAATACCTGATATTGCWCAGTMGCAGAGAATGCTCCACTTCATGCARACTTARTAAATAAAATACTACTACAGACTCTGTTTTTCTCAATTGCCTATTTAACACCTTCTGTTCTGAAAGGTCATCCAAAAGTTTTTTTCCTCCAGTTATTCTGTCTGGATTTAACACAGCCTTTCAGAGAGACAAAACCAACGAAATTAAAACAAATAAAACTGCAAAAGGCACAAAAAAGCTTTAAAAAAATCCAGTGTACAAATTCAGCATATTGTTACTTCTGAAATTGTTGTATTTAGTGACCAACATTTCCAGTAACATTGAAGTCCACATCATGCCCCAGAGAGTGTAAAGGGTACAGGAAGGCCTGAGATTACTTACTTAAGATAGAAGTCAATGATGACATCATTGAGAAACTCCCCATATTCTAAGCACTCTAGGTCTTCTCTTGTGACTCCCAGTCCTCCTTTTGCAGGTGGGGGTGGATAAACAATCAAACTAGAAAACATAAATCATGTTGTAACAGTGAAAAACTGTTTTACATYACATTTTTCTGAGTATGGCTATTTCATATGTAGAAGATTTTCTAGATAACCTTTTAAAAGCAGTAGTTGTCAAAACATTACCATTTCTTTCTCTAACAGCTAGGTGTCACACAAGAAGTATCACCCCAATGCACGCTGAAACTTTGACAAAAACTTCTTAGAAGTATTTTTTACCTTCACCTTGTTTTTCTATGTTTGATMAAAGTATTTGACAAATGGCTATATAAAATCTGAAGAAATACTAGAGGAAAAATGGCTATAAATAGATTGAGTGTGACTCAATCAGAGAGTCAGATTTACTCAGAACAGTAAAAGAAAACATTGCTCAGATTTTATAAGAGGCTCAGCTTAAGTTAGTAAATTTTGCTAAGACAGACTTAGGTGGACAGAACCCATGAGATCCCTACCCTCTCCATTGATGCACCCATGCTATGACCTTGTAGTCATAGATGAGATTTTCTCTAATTCCTATGAGACAGTCATCCTATAAGACATCCACTTTATCTTCTAACTAGACTCGTATTTTTTATTTTTTAGATTTGAAGAGTGACTTTCATGCAACTCTTCCAAATGAACTAGAAAATGGCAGGTGAGGGATTTTATTCCAGTWATTTATTTATCCAATTTCTTATATTTTCCCCTTCTCATTCATATGAAATACACTTACTTCTTAACTGCCCCCGTTTCTCTTACTTCTTTCCATTCTTCATTCAGTGCAGAGGACAAAGAGATACAATAGCAGCCACTWTTCTGCTTATTTGCAAGGGCATAACTGGGCCTGATCACTTTTAGYGTTGATTCCTACCAGGAAAAAACAAAAATAGTAAAAAGCATTATACAGCTTGGTACATAAAATACAAAACTCAAGTCTTAAGCCCTTCATCACTAAAGAGGATTTTTGCTGGAGCTTTAAAGTATAAACATCGGTATTTGGGCAAACATGCCATTGCTCARCTAAAAAGTTATGGATCATTTTTAAAATAATGACAGATCTTAGCTCATAATCTCTCTAAAACTGTTTAAGCATTATTTGGCCAAGCGACCCAGAAAAGGTTTTGGAGAAGAAACATTGTCTGAAAGGGGAGAGACAAGTATCAGAATGTCTAACCAAGAGCTTTGCATGCTTGGAAGGTTTGAAAATCTAGTCCTTGAACAATTTGCTTAAAAACAATAGAGATTTGAGCTGGCTAGCTTCCTTTTCAAGTCCCTAATTTCATGGACAAGATTGATCTGCTGTCTCTTGGCTTTTTACTGGGGGGAACAAAGATACGTAATTTCTGAAGTGACAACAATGTGGGGTTACATTTAGATATTCACTCAAGAGATTGAACCAAGACAACACAGTAACTTGCACAGACTCATCTCCCCAGCAGTCTGAGGAATGATTCAGCATTTTCAAGATGTGGAGACCCTACGAGCACATCTAGAGGTGTCTGGAGAACAATCTACACAGCTATTCCTCTGCTGCACTTCCAGCTTACCAAAAAATTGGTTCCATCCCTGCTTGCTGCCCTAGAGATAGCACAAGGGCAGAACATRCCTGTGGGTCTAAGTTTACATAATCATGAATAAATCTAATACATTGGTACTTACCACTTGCTGATGAGGTCCACAAGCTCTCCCTTTGTGGACACAATCTAGATGACTGCAAATTTTGGAGTAGTCATGACTGTCATTTTTTGAGTTATGAATTAAGAAAGGCTGACCTAAAATTTACTAGAMTGTGTGAATGCCAACCAGAATGGTCATGAATGAAAAAAACAGCTAYACACTAACCTGAACTGCAGGCTCATGAGCATCTGAGGTATTCTCTTTTGGTGTGTATTGCTTTAGTAGATCCTTATTGTGACACATGAAAGAGCTTTCTTCAGGAGAAACATTCTTAAACAATGGTAACGTTTGCTCCAAAGACAAAAACTCAGCAAGATCTGGTGCTCTCTTCTTCTTGCTCACACCTCTAATYAGTTCAGTCAGTCTGTCTTCTTCCCATTCTGCGAGTGGTTGAGACAGTTCCAAAAATACAAATTCATTTGCTCTGGCTGGAAAAAAGAGAGAATGGATAATATTAACTATTAGATTATGTAAAAGAAACTTGTCTGAACACCCACAAAGGAACTTAGATAATGGCAGGAGGGAAGCCCAAACAATACCCTGCCAGGCTCATCACAGGGGCCATCAGCCCACAAAAGTCCCACTTTGACAGGAACACAGCAAAAAGGCAGGTAGGAATCCAAATTCAGGACTGAGAGGAAAACACACATAATCAGAACCCTTCCCAGGGCTGTCCCAGGACAGTCTCAGTCCAAGAGTACAGACCCAAAACCCATCAAGATAAGCCAACATCAGAGCACTTTCTGGACTGAAAGGGAGTTGCTGCTGCGGTGTACAGCACACATAATGGCATGCAGAGGAAGAGTATTTTGGGATTGCACAGGACTTTATATAGGTTGTGTAAGGAAAGACCTAAAGGCAGCAAAGAGAGGCATTCAGGTAATTCGGRGAAGAAGCAGTGTGGGAAAAGAGMAGGTWAAGGGCATGAGAAGGACYAGTCACATCTAAATACTTCACTGRTCAATGCACTTGTCTGGCCATGCTRTGAGCCAGGACCTGCACAGCTTATTCAGTCTTCTTATAAAGTCCTTTCTAACTCTCCCAGCTGGGGAACTGCTCTGACCCCTCTCAGGCTGTCAGATCCACCATGGYATATTTTCCTCTAATATTAACACACTAAGGCAGCAGACCAGAATCATAGTAATAATTTCCACAAACTGCAAAACCATCACAGATTTTTTTTCAAGACTCTAAAAACATGTCAAAACATTGACATTACTACATAAACTTAAAAGGCATAAAACACTCATACAAATTTAATAAAAACTCGTGAAGGTTTCTCCAACRAGAATGCAACCAAGACAAATAAACCTAAGATTAAAATATGCCTCACATCTTCATATTCACGTTCCACTCATTTCACTGGGAACTGAATCCACAGAAAGTACTTGTAACTTCAATAAACTTGCACCAACTAAAGGTAGCTCTCTGCTAAAATTCCAAGCTACTTGTACTCCTTATATAAAGTGACCATTACTTATCATTTTTCTCCCTATACAGTGGTGGCTGTATAGGGAATACATATGATTAAACSTCCCACAGACAACACTGACATCATCCTTTCCATAGATGCCATTTGCAACCATTTTGCTTGTGTAAAAACCTGTATGATTGTGCTACTCTGAATATATGAGCCAAAGTTAYACTCTGTTTACAGAGCTTCATGGTAGAAAACCAAATACCGAGAGTCCATAATACTTTAAGACCAAATAGTCCATTTGACCTTTAGTGGAAGTTTTGTTCAATAATAATGCAATAGCCCACTGCAGTCTTGTCAAAGGTCAACTCAATCTTCACTTGCCAAGGCTCTTGTAAAGCATATTCAATACTCAAGAGTAAGGACATTTATAAATYCATATATTTTAAATGGTGAGATGCTCTGTACACAAGTCTAGTTTCAGAAGGTCTTCTGACATAGACTACAACTGAACTGTGTTTTGGGGTCTTTTTATTAAATAGCAGTGATTTTGAATTTCATTATGTTAAGATGYTTTTCTTCCAAATGTAAGTACGGTGAGGCATTTTTAAAATGCTATAAGGCTTTCTTCTGCATTCAAAAAACACAGCTGTAAAACAACTACTTTACTGACATACCATATATTAGACTGTTTTCATTGCACCTAAAGAAAGTGATTACTCACATGGCTCGCTGGTAACCASCTTTTCCATTTGGGATTCAATCTTTTCTACATAATCCACAGCCAACCAAAGAAARATAATTGTTGAAGAACGGCCACCATCACTTTTCCACAAGCCAAATCTTCTCAGATCCAGAGTATCCACTGTCAGCTGAATGTTTTTAAGAGACACTGTAGAAAACAGAATTCAAAAGAACCGTACTGAGCCACAGATCATGTCATGCATGTTACAGTAATTACACACTGAGAGGTATGACCAGAGCATATTAACACAGTACTTACAGATTTTACTCCTTACATTGTATAAAATACTGAGAGTTAAATATTTAAGTCCATTACATCAAACTATGTAAAACAAAGTTATCAAACTGTAACACAAAAATCTAAACACCTACATGCAAGATTTATCCTGAAAAAAGTTGGCTTTTTCCTCTAAATAACCACAATTAATACCTAAAAACATGGGAAAAAGAATACTGCAAAACATTAATTCCTATTTGCTTTCAGTCAACTCAGAACTGCTGATAGACCTTTTCCTATCACACATCATCTTTGGAAAAATAACCTGAATGCAAAGCTACAGTTACATTCCTCATGATTCTAATCAACTCAAATACTTTTGTAAACCTAAAGATCTAAAACCCTAATCTGAAAAGTTTAAAGTTTCACCTCAAAAAAAAAGTATAGTCATATTTATTATAGTTCAACAGCTAAGATATGCAAGAATGCGGGAGGGAAGCCAGAAAAACTACAAGTTCAACATAAAACTACAAGAAACTGCTAAGTTATTAATAAAGACTCCAAAACATCTGTTTATTGAAAAACATAAACAATTACCTAATTTCTTTCTGAAAGCAGATAAGATTATAAATAAATCATAACAGAAATACATCCTTAGTATTTTAATACAATCATTTAAAGATACAGCAACAAGAAGGCTAAAGAAAATTCTCTTACCCTGAAATGGGATCACAATATCTTTCCTTGTAAACTGAAATATATTTAAAAGAAATTTAAGTTAGCTTGCTTTTTACAAATTGATTAAAACAATATGTAGATTTTTAATTATCTGTACTTTTTTTATAGTGAAATAAACTCAAAATTATATAATAGAATCATTTGGGTTGGRAAACACCATTAAGCTTAAGTCAAATATGCTTAGTTTGAGACTTCATATYGCGTATATCACCTAAAACAACATTCCTAAAGGCATTGCAGAACCTAAATGGCAGCAAGTAACTTTCAGAAATGCTATGCACTGAGAAATAAGCACAAAGTTACCAACTGCCTATAAGCTCCTTAAAAAGAGTAAGAGCAAAGATAAAGACTCAGGACAGAAGGTGCTAAAGCAACCTGTGAGAAGCTGTCAAATGAACCATTTGAGGTAAGGACACATTAGAAATGCTTCAACATAGGGCTGTTRCTTTATATTAATCTTTGAATTAAAGCCTTTAAAGATTCCATTTGCACTGCTGCTACATTGAAGATACTTTGCTAAATAAAAATTGCTTTATTGTCACTTTAGCAAAAGGTTATATGCATTGACAAAGGAGGTTTCCCCTGTGTTACCACAAAGTTGTAGGCACAAAGTTGTGGCTCTCACGGAAGAGTTCTACTTTATATGTAACAGCATTAATGCTAAAATTATGTCATCTCATCCTTCAAATTACTTTCACATTTAATTTAGGAAATTTTCATGAAATGTTTTTATAACTGCTGTTTTGTGAAAAGCTGAAATTATTATTACAATCCAAGATTTCAAAATGTCTTACTGAAGACAAAACAAGATTAGCAGGTCCAAACATTTCTTTTGCACTGGCAATATACAATATGAACCTGGTCAAAGAATTGTTGTAACTACTGGAGCTGGTACTTCATTTATATCACATCATCACTTATGTTTCTACAACCTGTAAATACCATATTATCTATACACTAATTCTTTTAGTACTGTATTTATGCTTTTTGAAGCCACAAAGCAAGCAATTTTGTGTTTAAAAGGCAAAAGCATAGTATATATCTGAACTCTGATCATTATGAGCTACTTTATYAGAACATGGTTATTTCTGAAAAAAGTAATTGCTCTTTATTTTAAGTGACATTAACCAGTCATTAWAATGGTTATGATTTTCTGTTAGAATTCATTAAAAGCTTCCTCAGTATGACCTGTTTTCCAGTACAGCATTTTTGCAGAACCTTTATATGTGAAAACTGTGGACGTAGCAAATGACAGTTAGCTTTTCTACTGATAGCAATCCAAATGTACAAGACAATGAAACATACACTACATTGTTTAGCCAAAGGAGTTTAATATAACAAAAATGAAAACTTTGTGCTTCCACACTAAGTACCACTGACGTTGTTTAAACCAGAGTCGTAATTTTTAAATATTCACAAAATACTGTAACAGAACAACTTACTGTGGCAGGACCAGTGGATAAACATTTATATTTTCCAATGTGTAGTCTATCAAATTCAATATCCAATTCCAGGTTCAWCTGCTTTCTAGGTTTGCTTCCAGAAGGTAAGCTGAGAGCACATTTATCTTCAACTGACTCTGTTAGAAGCTGGAAAAAAGTGCATTTACTATTAGACAGACACCTTTCTGTAACCTCAGGAACCATTTTTTTCATGCTTGTAAGAACTGACTGCCAAAGCCAGCTTTCACATTAAAAAAAAAAAAAACCATATTGAAAAGCTCTGAGTGTTATTACAGCTAATTCTGACAATGTCCTTAAGGGTCTAACAATATCTTGCTACACCTCCATTACCAAAGCATGATTTGTGCTCTTGACTTGGTTCCAAATTAGTAAAACCTCAGACAACACAGCAACAAAACAATGCCCTTCTTTTCATATCAAAGCTTCAGGATCCAATTCAATGCTTATGACTGAATTGGTTCAATTCCATCTGTGAGAAGAGGCAGCAATGGCTYTTCTGACTTGTTTCAGGATTACACAGATAACCCAGATCCAGRTCAAAGCAAGCAGCCAAAGGTTAGTAAGTCCAAAATGGGGCARCAACCTTTATGGCTACTTTTAGATTCAAGTTCTACAGCTAGCCAGACCTTTACCCTGTCTCTGTCTGCTGTCAACAAAGATCCTTGAACTTCTACATGCACTGAATGATAATAAAGGATTGGATGACAAAAAAAAAGTATGATCAACATAAAACATGGTGTGAAAACAAATTTTTTTCACAGGTGTATCTTCATCACGTATATTTCTAGCTCAGATTACTATTTGATCCTTCCTGTTTCCTGATATTAAACATTTCCAAATATATATGTATTAAATATTTCMAAATATTTATTTTCAAAATAGGAAATACGCTGTGTATTGCAAAAACACCCAAGCTTCAGAACCAGAGACAGAATTCTGGACAGTCTTCAGAGATTATCTGTGAAATAAATTACTGCAGCTTCTGCTTGTGGCTGGGACCATAATAAACAATCACTTTCTATAACAAACATTACAGAAATAAATTAAAGGCTTGGCATAACAGTACATAGGCCAAAAACTGGACTACCTCCTCTGTGTGACTTTTCATCTTGTCTTCTAATTGTTTGGCTGAGAGATCCAAGTCATACTGTTCTTCTGTTTCTTTATTTTCAGTTATATTATCCTGCATCAGCTCTGTGCATGGTGGCAAAGAAGGTCCATCATCATCATCACTGGAAAGGACAACTGAAAAGRAAAAAAGAAGTATACATATACTACAAATTACAGACTTAAGAATATGTCATTCTTTGTGGATTTCAGACAAGTAAAGAATTCTATCTTGCAGTACATGATACTGCAGTACAGTGCTCAAACCAGTCAAGATCTTGTGCATGGAATTGTAGACAACAAGCACTGCTTTGCATCTTTACGAACACTTTTTATCCCAGATCCTCAAAATTATTTGGCTATTAAATTAAATTGGACACAGCTACTTCAAAGAGAATAATTTTTCTCAGTTTAAGCCTCTTCAAAAAGTAAAAGCTCACATAAAAAGTACTTTTTTACTTTAAAAAATAAAAGCTCACATAGCCACAAAATCAGCTGAAATATGAAGACTGGAATCTGGAAATCTTGCTGTCTATCCTGTTTCTCAGTTACAAGACTCTGACACTAGGCACTGTTCTCTAACCTGCACAATGTATTGCAACATGTCAGTCTCCAATCTGTTGTTCCTGATGTTTCCACTAGCCAGTCAAGCTCGAGTTCTCCCAGGCCCTAAGTGTACCACCAGTAATTGCCATCAGCAYGGATACAGTACATACTTGGGTCAATGGAAACAAGTTGCTGATTACCCCTGCAGATTCTGTTCCGCAGCTTGCTCAGGCACTGTGATTTGTCCATCTTTAAYTTCYKGATTGTACTAACTTCTGGTGCAATCACATCCTCACTGGTGGCAGAAAGCTCTTYCTTTGACAAATTGTTGGAAGGAGAYTCTGWGTCAAATTCYTCTGTGYGACTGTAAGCATGCCYTGAGTGGTTGTGGGTGGAAGTGTCTTTAGATTCTCTCTCTGCTGGACAATCTGGCACCAGAATAGTATTAGATCTGTGAGCTTGTCCATCCTCACAAGGTGTTCTGCAGTCAGGAGACTGAGTTGAACTTTGCTTTTCCTAGAAACAGGAATCAGAGACAGGATATAAGTTTATTTCTTGACATTTCTACGTGGTTCAAATAAGTGATCACTAAGACTTAGCAATGTGCTAGAAACAAAAACCCCATTGTTTAACATAGCAACATTTAATGCTCAATTCAGGATAATTTCTCCCTCCTCGTATTCCAAAGATTTTTACATAAAGGCATGAGGAACAATCTTTTAGAGCTCAACAGTGACCCTCATTCAAACTGAACAATTAATTATTTCTGATTTTTGGCAGCTCTTTCAGTGTCAGACATGGAGARACCAATAATCAGTGCTGTCCTTTATTTTCCAGAAGTGTGGCTTGGTCAGATGGATTTGAGAGTTTCGGTAACTGCCTGTCTCTGTAGGGTTTTAATCAGAAGGTTACAGAGATGAGTTTACTGTATTCAAATGCTTGAATATAAATCACACTTTGTACTTGACTGATTCCCTCAGTCTTTTATTTGTTGGGATTTTTTTCACATCCTAGTGATGGATAAGAAGAAAACCTTAGGGAAGAGTACAACAGACTAAAGAGGAAGGAAAAATCTGCAAGATTTCAATAAGCTTGGGTATACTTTGTAATTTTGCTGTTAAAGCCCCTAATTAATCCCTAATTCTAGAGCATTTGTGAAAGAAGCTTCACTTTGGCAGTTAGATGCCTTATTTTCAAAATTGTTTTAATCCATGCTCCTGTCTGAAGGAAACACTGTCATTCATCYTTCACAACCTTCCTGCTACAATAAGCATATTGTGATGATGTGGACAGAAGTAMATTYACTCACTCCTTGTGATGCATCACTRAACTACTTTCCCTCAACAGGTAGTAYCTGCTAATATACCTGTACAATAAACCCCATTTATTAGCATAATTCTTTTATTTGGGATGCTGCTACTGAAGTGTGTGTTAATGTGTGCACACAAACACATGCTTTAAAATTAAGTGCCACTTACAGACAGTAAGAATGATTTTTGTGGAATGTGTGTATTACAATCATCAGCAATATGGTCACTATGTCTCCTTTTCCTCTTCTCAGAAACAAAAGAGCCCAATTTCTTCTGAATAAGAGTAGTGCTGTTTGTGTGTTTGCTCCTCTTCTCCAGTTCACCACAGTGCTTGTTTTCTGTGTCCAAAGAAAAAAAAGGGTAAATTAATGTATTAGCCTTAAAAAACTTTACATTTCCTCATATCTGTTATCTCTCACAAAATGCATGGAAGCAGGTATCCAATACAGTAAGTTCTCTCCTTTTTAATTGTATGTAGCTGCCAAAACACATTCCCTAGAATTATTATTATTTTTGCATAATTAGTTAAGGGTATAACCAATTTCATAGCTCCCTTCCATGCATGAATTAGCACTTCATAATCCACAGTCTTTTTTTAATCTTCTGCCAGATGCAATGTTCTCAATTCCCTGTTCTAATCTCCACATATCAAGTATAAAAAGACAGCACATGTCCCTGGAGTCTGAGCATAGAGATCATACTTCTTCAGCAGTGAAAGCAAATATTGTCAAATAGCATGAATATTTAAGCTTGAGCATTCTTAATAGTTTGTAAGACTTTTTAGAAAATCAAGATTATAACAAGGCAGTGAGGCTGCCATCAGTTTCATTTTTCTTCCACAGATTAGATTAACCATACCTCTATTCCTATTAAAAAACAGCCATTTGATATATTTTTACTGTATCTGTAAAAAACTCCATTTCCAGGAAACACACTGTGTGCAACACATAATTTACTTCTGCACTTGCCTCATAATACTAGAGTAAAAAAAAGGAAATATCCCAACACTCCAAAATTCATACTTAACTGTCAGATGATTGCTCACTACAAACCTTTCTTCTGCAGCTCTCCTCTTCTAAAAGTGACAGCATTCGTTTTTTCCCTTTCCTTWGAAGTCTTGGTCAATTTACACGGTTCATCATCTGTCTTTTTCAGGCAATGTTCAGACCTGTAAATAACATTAATTATGACCTATCTTTAATTTTGAAAGTAGACTGAATAAAAATCTCAACAGAAACAAGACTTGGTTAGACTACAAACTTCTGCCTCTCCCATAAACATGTGGACCTTGGCAAATGAAACAAATTAATTCAGTCTGATTAGGGAAATACAGAGACACTCAAACATTATTAATGAAGGAGACACTTCTAAAAAGCACAAAGTATGACATGCTTGACATCAGGCACTGAAATATTTTGCTGTGAGGAATGACTGCAACAAGAACACAGAAGAAAAAAGAGAACAGTCAGTTGACTAGCCTTGTCTTTGTAATGAATATGGTGGGAATGTTGTATATTTTTAACTTGTACTCAAAACTGCTAAGAGAACCCATTAAGTAAGATCCTACAATGCAATATTATTTGAAATAAAAAGTCCTGCTCAGAAGGACCTGAAACAGAACCTTAAAGAAGGTAGAGGGTGATCGGACATAAATGAAAAAGAGAAAAGGATTACAGTACTTAAAACAAATAGATTTTGTATTCACAGTTTTATRTGTTTAACTCAGAAGGTTGGGGTCTCAAATTTGCAAAGAGCTAGGTGATCATCACAATGCCTGAAATCATTGACAGCCAAGCTGGGACTGGTAAAAATCATCACCCACCATSGCAAAAATATTCTTGACATCTGTAACTAGACAAAAAAAACTCCTGGACACTTTCTGAACAGATGGCTACTCTTCAGTGATGTATCTGTAGACTGTAGTATCAGTGATCTTTGGAAATTCTGTAAGATAAAGATTTCCAGAGTGCTCCAAAACTCAGTGATGAACAGTGTGAAAAAATTACTCATTATCTTTCAGTTCACAAAGAACCATGAATTGGACCACATACAGAAGTAGTTTTCAGTAAATGCTATTATTCATTCTGTATATGGAACAAGACAGTCTTCCACAGACTGGGTAGCTCAATACAGAAAACTATATTTTGGGACCCACACCTCTCTCTCAACTAAAATATCTCTATGTGTAACAGCTATATATGTAGATCAGACTGCCTTAAAAGACCACACAAGACCATTAAGTGGTTTTCAGCACTTGTTTTACACCATCACCACAATTCAGGCATTTTTACAGCAGAAAGCATCCAAATAGGGCTGTTTMAGCTAACAGACTTTCCTAAATGTATTTGTTTTATACATAAATTCTGCACATTTTGTTTTCAATTCCAGCTTTGCTGACAATTCAGTTTAAAGCATATCCCTTAACAGATACATGCATCACCTATGAAGCTATTGTAAAGTATTCTTAACAGCCATGAGAAACAAGCATTTCAAACACTTYAAAGATTCTTTACATTTAAAACCTACCTCAACTTCATYAGTTATACTGACAGGTCAGTGCTCRYTTAAATAMATGCACTTCACTCTGRGTTGCAGTAAAGCAGCACAAAATCCACCAATTCTGAATAACAATAACAGAAGGAGGGTGCAGGCAGCAAGTTATAGCTGGTGGAGTTAAGTTAACTTATCACTCTGTTCTGATGACACATAATTCTTTGACTTGATCTGAAATTTCCATAGTACAATTTCCAGCAATACAAAGCATGCATTCTAGCTACCCTGATGGTACAGAAAAAAATCTCTGTATGGCCCTGTGGATATAAATGCATAACCTTTACAAGGGAGGAGCTTTTATTCTCCTCCAGAAGAAGAGACCCYCAAATCAGTGCCAAGTGTATGTAATGTACTGATGACTTAGAGAGAGGTGACCAGGATCAAGCCATGACTTTGTTGAAAGAATTCCTAAATTTTCCATTTCCCATATAGCACCTATTACAAATTACACTGGTCACAGAGGAAGGGTGAAAAATCATCCTAATGCTGGTTCCAGATAACAAGCTTTTTACACAATACATTAGAAAAATCATATAACAGGAACACAATCATTCAAACAATGAGCCACTCCAAATCTAAAGCAAGTTGAGTTGACAACCACTAAAAAAATTACTAGCTCAAACAATTATTGTGCTTAATGTGAAACTCAGCAGCTGCCCCCCAGAGCAGCCGGGGCCTGAAAAAATTCACAAGATATACCCTCAGATTTAGAGAATTAAATACAAGAGTTTGTCTTCCTCTCAATAAACCCACTACTTCCCAACATTCAAAATTTCACCAAGTGAAAAAATCAGATACTAAAAAAAAATATCACATACTAAAAAAAAAAATCATTCTTAAAGACTTTGCAGTAAAACAGAAAACCCCAAAAAACAAAAACAAAATAAACCCTAAAACAAAAAAAACCAACCTCAACCAAACCCAAAACAATCCAAACTAACTCCCCACACTTTGGTCAGCCTTTAATTACACAAAACTATTAGGAACAAGTATGATACTTTAAAATGAGACAGCCTCATAAACTGTTCTATCTAAACACCTCATTTAAATTGCAGTTTTGTCAGATTAATTTAAGCAGCAATAGACAACCCAATAGAAAAAAAAAAGGAGTCGCTATTAATTTCAGTTCTCTAAGATGTTTACATATCAGAATGAGCAATATGACTGATTTGTCTCAACTTAACCCTGAGAACTGTTAATTACTCCTGCCCTCAAAAAAAAGTCATTCTTCTCTTCTTCATCCTTCTACTGTGCTCACCAGAACTTCCTGCTATTTTTTCCTGTGGCAAATTTACTGTTGAGCAAAAATGTAGCCATAACAGACAAATGGAGACAGCTTACTTTGAACGCAACTGCCATCTTAGACCAAAACAGATGTTACATAATTTTAACACSTGATTTCTGTTAGTTATATATGTCAAGCATTACTGTGATGCTCAGTCAACCTAAACATAGRAAGAAAAGATGAAAAGCAGATGTTAAGTGGTAAGAGGACACACATAGCCCTTAAACAAAGCCAACTTGGTAGGAACACCGAGATCACCAATGGGTTAATGTGAAAAGAAATTAATTATCACAGAGAGGAATTTGGATATATTTTGGAAACGAAGTTATTTGACATCATGCTAGAGTATATTAACACCAAGAAGAAAGCAAGATCTGGACCCAAAACCAACTTAGATGTGATTGAATTATTTGTGCCACTTCACAAATCAAACCACTGATCTATTGCAAACAGAAGTTCCTCCCAAGAAAGGAAAGTAGCCTTTTAACATCAGGTCCAGCAAACCAGAACAAATGCAATGCTAAAATGGCTCATTGGAGAAACAGGTTAATTTGCACTCAGGAAACTAATCTCCTGATTCCAGACAGGAGTAGAACAAAAGCTGGGAAAATGGGAAATGTTTTTCTATTGTGAGGTTATGTCATTTCAGGAAGACTGGCAAAATCAGCAGTGAATAACATACCTTTCAGAAAGAAAAGAACTTTCATGAGGAGAACTTARTATCTGACATGTCTGTAGGCTGGCAACAGCTGGTGAGGGTAGYTGGCCCGATTGCAATTTGTCAGCAGCAGGTAAATTTGCATCATTTATTACGTGGCTGTCTATGTACTTTCTTCCAATTTTCGTACTCAGGATGTTCGTCAAGATAACTTTGGGTTGCCTGCCATACATATAACAGTAAATCATAAATTCCRTACTGAAATCTAGAGAACCAAACTTCTTGTTAAATTCATGCATCCTAGAAGTTTGATAATCAAACATTAATTTAATCCCTTAGATACAAAAAAAATTTCTCATTAAGAAACTTAAAATACCACAAAAGCAAATAAACACAAGATAAGACCAGGGTAAGAAAAACTAGCCATGTAATTTTACCTTAGCCGATACAATGCACACTGCATTGCCTCTATCCTATCATGCAGTATTCTTTATAATAAATGTTTATCTCTAAACAGCTTTCATACTTTCATACAGTATCTGTACACGTTTCTCAGAACTCTGGAACAAACAATCTTGATTTTCCTGTGAACAAGAAGCCTCCAGTAAAATAGAGTAAATTTTCTCAAGCATTTGGTGAACAAGTAGAAAAGTAGCACTACACAAAAGGTAGCATTAGATTTTATTCCACTCCTCAACTAAGAGGTAGCACTCTATAGTACAGCAAGGCCCAGAAAAATTATCCCAGGTGTTGAAATAGACAAGCATTGAAAATAAGCTAAGCAGAAATATGGAGATGCAATTCCCACTTGAACACAAACATGATGTGTAACAGCAACCTAACTTACTTCATACAATGCCACTGCAGCCAACTTGTTGCATAGCCCATGATTTATCTACATTTCTCAGGCTGGAATTTAAATTCTACCACTTCAATTGCAATTTATTTTGGATTAGGTTGTAAGGCTATGGCCTGTCTGAATTTGTTTTGAACAATACTGCCTTTTGGGTATTGACTGATAATTCTCCTGCTGTCTGTATTCATCCACAGAGCACACTCCAGCACACACTGTGTGATRTCWGGRGAGCACTCAGACCTCCTCTTGTGARAAGRTGTAAATTTACTTTACTCAGGAGACTGCCTTCCAGACAAAATTGSAGAGACACACAGGGAATAAACAATTAAGATACAACTTGAAGAGGAAAAGTCTAATTCTGAAAACCATATAGACTGGATGTAACCTTCAATAAATGAAGCCCCAGAACTGTCATCAGAAGCTCAGAAAGAAAACCCAGAAAAAAAGTATTCACTCTAGCCATACTTTTCCCAATATCTGCAATTGAACACTGCTTTCAGAGTGCAAAGAAGATATTGGACTTGATATGCTTTTCTTCTGATCATTTATGCCAGTTTTCCTRTTTTCATAAGTAGTCTAAAGCAGTAACAGTGAAAATACACCTTGATACCTTCCGTGAGAAGAGGGCTACATTAAATTCAAGTTTATTCTTTTCATGAGAATAAAAAAATCCAATCGCTAAATAAGAATTAGTTGGTCTTGACAGTACAGGACCATCTAGAAGCCATTTGATCAGAAAACACCATTACAATATGYCTGGTACCATCTCTCTCAATGTTTATAATAAGGAAACAGGTATAAGTGAATTTGGTGAAGTCAGTAGCTCATGAACAAGGAAGCTGTGGTATGATAAAGAACACTTTCTCCTAAAAAAATAATTGCAAGGAAAATTATTTTGTTTAGTGACACAAGGCAAAGACAACGTACCTTTTGGACAGAAAAAGACTTTGGAGAGTAGGGTTTAAAATCTGCCATATCTTTATAGTGGCAGCAGATGATGAGGGTGCTTGATCTGACTGCAGCCTGYCAGCATCAGAAAAATTAACACCAGTTTTAGGTGGTGCCTGCATATATTTTCTTCCAATTTTCATCCTCAGGACATTCGTCAAGATAACTTTGGGTTGCCTGCCATACATATAACAATACATTAACAATAGGGTGCTGAGAYCTTTTTAAGTCACAAGAATTCAACAAAGATTTTCTATGAGTTTACTGWCTCTCTATCATACCTTATATCTTCACTAGAATTAAGGTCACTGCCCTGACAATTTACAAAGTGGTTCTCTTTGGAAAAGAGGAATCACAAATTCATCTCTTGATCAGGACAGCCTTTCAAGGTTTCTTCTTCAGGCATCAATGACTAACATATTCATATGTGATTCTGAAGAGATAAACTTCCAGTGCAGGAGCACTAGAATGGAAATTTTGGTGCATCTTTTTATCACAAAATGTTGGAAGTGGTGCCACTTTGGCCTTACAAGCTATTCTGAAACYGTACACTTGATCATTTGTAGGATARRAAARCAAGCACTCATTTTATGGCACCTTTTAAAACCATGAATATTATTTGTTCCCATRYAGCAGATTAATCATTATCTTGCTGGGGAAAAAAAATGTCAAGAAGTTGGTAAAAATCTCCACTTCTGAAGCTCCAACYACCTCTATTCAATTTCATTAAACAAATTACCTAGAATTATGAATTACAAAGTCAGTAAAAATACCCAASTGAAGTTCTTTAAAGAAGTTTCTATACTCTGGTAATTCTGCTAGATTGGTATTGAAGTCYTCACATGAARAATTAATTCTGCAGTATGGCCAGTAATTTGGATAGTTTTCTGGCAGAAWCATAAGGGTTAGAAAAGATTTGTAAAGAGAATAGCAAATATTCCAACACTGAGTGCTTAAACAACATAATGACAGAAAAAGTCCATAGCAGGAGTTAAAGGAGTCAGAAGCACAATTTTACTATCTATAGTTTGTTAGCCATGTTGAAAATTCAGCTCTAACATCCTTTGCTCATGTTCTCATCAGGTTAGACCTTAACAGGCTCCAGGCTTCTCCATAMTTTCGTTTACTGATTGTTATTTGGCACTGAATTTGTAATGTTTCCCATTCCCTTGATTTAAATGGGGTTGACAGATTTTAAGCAAGTACTTTCGAAAAAAAAAAAATGTTATCATTTCAAGTACACACACATACCATGAAGCAAGCTTTGCACTCGAAATCTATGCAAAGCAGAGGAACCTTTAACAGACAAGGAAGTCAATAGTATACACTTGTCAGTGCCAGGCCAAGGCATCACTTCGTATGTGACACCAGGTTTAACTGAAGTTTTTGAACTGGTTATGACCTAACCTTCAGAGCAGAAGAGTGGTGTAAGAGCTTTCAATGGCTTCCCTTTCTAAAACAGGAATGGTTTYTGGCAGTGTTTCTTGAAAATCGTGTCATTAAGACTGGGAGTATAATARATTCAGGAAAACATCTAAACTTAAGGTAGCCTGTACATCTGTAAACAATGGCTGYGACACAGCTCCCTAACTTACCTATTAAATTGTCCACAGAATAAAGCGAGCAACTCAATCAAAAGACATTTCAAAAGATCAAAATAAATGWCAAGCAGAAAAAAGCAAAGTGTACATTAAAAGCAAACCCAACCAGCAAACCCAGAACTTGCATAACAGTAAAACTGGAGGCATCTTGGTGTAGGAAAACCAAAGGCATTTATTTCTGTTTCTAAAGCAAGTTCCTACCATACTTCGTCTTATTTTCCTCCCCAAAATAGAAAAAAATACAAAAGCAAGGGTAATGAAAACATATTTATGCATATAATGATGGAATAGACAAAAAACAGATTATGAAAAATGTGGTTAATTGTTCCTGGCAAGTCTCATATTACTTTTCACAGTCAAAGAAAGAATTATCCTTCACCTTACTGTCATGATTTGACACTGGCCAAATGGCAGGTACTCACCCCTGCCACAGATGGGCAGAGGAGAGGGAAAAAAAAAAATTAACAAAGGGGTCACAAGTTAAGGACTGGGAGAAGACACTCCAAGGGCAAAACAGACTCAACTTAGAAGTACAAAGTGAATTTATTATTAACGAAGTCAGAGGAGGACAATGAGAAGAAAAATAAGCCCTTAAAAGACACCCTTTTCTCCAACCCCTCCCTTCTTCCCAATGACAGCACAGGGAACAGGGCGTGGAGTTCTGGTCAGTTCATCACCAGGATCTTCTTTCGCTGCTCAAGGCGAGGAGTCCTTCTCCTGCTGTGCCCTGGGGTCTCTCCCACAGGAGACAGCTCTGTGTGAACCTCTCCAGTCCATCTCACGAGCAGCAGTCCTCCCAAAACTGCTGCAATGTGAGTTCCCCCACAGACAGACAG